TACAACATATTCTGTGGCAAGAAGTATATGGTTTATTTTATTACGATATGGACTGGATTCATTTTGCTTAGGATAAAGACCACTGGGCGAGTTGATGTGAGCATGGATATGAATCTTCGAGTTCCACAGAACACCTCGACACTAGCTAAGACTCTATTAAAAGCTTTAGTGGTTTAATTTTGTATCTCCAGGTAAACAGCAGGATAGTAGGCAAAAATCTTATTATTATTCTTCCAAATGCTTCCTTTCTCAGACTTTACGATCACCTTACCTCTTCATACGACGCCATATGAAGTGTGTGGTTTAAACAACGTCGTTAAAGCAGGATTTTAAGATATCGCGGAGGGCGAGAACAAAGCTGGCTGACTTCTGGGTTGTAGCATCGTGCAGTCCGGTAGAAGTTTACCAGCATTTCAGAGGTGCTTGCTGCCTCCATCATCAGGGAGACGAGACATTATGATGATAGATTTCTTAATAGTGGGTGTTTACAGAGTGAAAATTTGGACAACATCGAAGTAACGTTTTACTTTTGATGTTGTAAAGAGCGTAGCGCCATAACGGCTCGTCCTAGGTATAACAAATCCAACATTTGAGACTGAAAACACATGATTTGTAACAACTTTATGTTGTTATGTATTTTGCCAAATAACGAATCTCTCTTTGAAGTTATGGGGCACCTGCACTATACGCTTACGCAGATCATGACAAACCCGATAAATTTAGTCTGTAACCCTGAGTCAAATCTTCATTATGTCGTTACAGATGACGCTTAGACAACCAAATCCAGAGATGCAGGCCTTCATCAGGAAGAAGCTGAACGAGAATGTAAACACGACTCAAGAGAACGTACAGCACATCAAGGATTGGCTCGCAAAACAGCCCCACCTCCCGAATTTTGACGGTACGAAATACAGCGTGTTTAAGTAGTCACTGTGCAGTTGCGGTTATGTAGTAATGCACGTCCTGGCGTGATTGCCTGCCTGCCTGCCTGCCTGCCCAAGTAAATAAAGCAGGCAGGACAAACTTAAGTGCCACTTGAAAATAGAGCCCATCACATCTGTGGTAAAAATCATAACCGCCTACTTTTACTAAAAGTTGCCAGAACAAAGGAAGCTGCTTCTCCTATAGGAAGACGTTCGAATCTTATTTAATGTAAATCGGTATTTTGGTTCAAACCTTACTGGTGGGATACGCACACACTGGCGCCATACATTTAAACTTCTTTACGAAGTGAGAAAGTATATCGATTTTGGTCTTCTGTGTTGAAACGTCGTGTAAATTTGCAAGATTTGAGGTTTTCACAGCGGGGAGTATGAAGATTTCTGTCTTCTGAGTTGTAGCGCTGTGTAGTCTGTGTAGCGATTCATCGCCCTGATGACGGAGGCAGTATGCCCTCTGAAACGTTGGTTAACATCGACCAGACTACACAGCGCTACAACTCAGAAGACAGAAATCTTCATACTCATCGCCCTGATGACGGAGGCAGTATGCCCTCTGAAACGTTGGTTAACATCGACCAGACTACACAGCGCTACAACTCAGAAGACAGAAATCTTCGTATAGATTTGTAGGTATCTGAAAAAGGGTTCAAGATGGAGGCAATATATTCCTCCGCAACGCTCATGTCTATCTACACGTCCATATAACACTACAACCTAGATCAACATCGGCAGATTCACAGCAGCGAGGACATCAAATTTTATAAGGAGATTATGAAGATTTCTGTCTTCTGGGTTGTTGCGCATTGTAGTTTGGTCGATGTTCATCAACGTTTCGGAGGTCATACTGCCTTCGTCATCAGGGCGATGAATGTGCCAAATGGGTAGAGGAGGCCAGGTTTATAAACCATTATTCATTTCTCATTGTATATATTTATGATGCGTGCTGTATTGACCGTTCGTCTATTTCTCCCCGATTACATTATGGTAATAATATAAACTGAAGGCTACGTGAAAGGGCGGAAAATCCACAAGGATGCTGTTACTGTATGACTCATCGTTTGGCAGAATAAGAACATTTTTACACATCTTCCCGTATAGGATCCCTTACTCCTTACCACAGCTTGCTGACTGGGCTTAGTTGCTAGCGGGGCAGACAGCCAGAAAATGAAGCTCTGTGGGTGAAAAATTGCATCTTATCTGTAGCGCTTAAATTATCCATCCATGCTTTCTTTTACCATTTACGAAACTTCCTGAATAGAATTTTAAATTCGATATATCGTACGATGTTTGTGATCGTACTTGCATTGTACTGCTTAAATTTATTCAGTTTAACAGTGCGTTGCAACTTAGCTTAAGATAGGAAGGTCCAAAACAACTATTCAACAAATGGCATGAAACATCACCAAATGGAATCATATTTGAGTTTTAAGTTCGTAAATATTTTACACCTGATGATGGTTTTATAAAAACTGAAACATGTTGTGTAAAGGATGTTCCAAAATGTAAATCGATCAATCGATATGGAACATCAATGATATTTTATTATCTTAATTATAAGAAATTTTAAATATTGTGATAAGACGGATTAAAATAAATAATTGTAAGGAAGTTTATTTAGTCCGCAAATTGTTGTCCTTTTCTTCCAATGCAAATGGTGCGGTTTAGAGGCACTAAACATAACATTCTTCTCTCTACCTGTTGTAGATGACCAGCGCATTACAACTTTTCTCCGTGGATGCAAGTTCTCCTTGGAGAAGACGAAGCGAAAATTAGACATGTTTTTCACAATGAGAGCAGCAGTTCCAGACTTCTTTAATGACCGTGATGTCGCCAGGCCGGCGCTAAAGGACATCCTCGATTTCATGTGAGAACAATGAGTTTAACACCTGCAGTAATTATTTAGCGACTAGTGAGGCGAAAGCGTGAGGAGCTTACTGGTTGTGGCCTGCTTGTAGGTAGTAACGTCGTAGTGCGACGACTGCACAGGGCGGTTATCTCGTCAGCAAGATGAACAAGTGGTGAAGGGGGTCGGAACGGAAGAGGGTTCTATCCGAGTGTGGTAGGAAAACCTCAGGTGACATCATTAATAATAACGGTATGCCCTACCGACGTTTTCTCGACGATAAGCACAACACCAGTTCCCGAGACCCTGACGCGACAAGACAGACCGACGACTAGGAAGGAAGTCGACTCCCAAGGCAACTTGCGCGTTTAAACGAAAGACACGACGCAATGATCTATGAATAATGGCGGGATGAGAGGCGGTGACCCCACCTACCCGCGTTTTGTTTATCTGTAGCTTATTTAGAGACGCTGTCAGTACCTCAGATCGAGTGTCGTAGAATGATAAACAAATAAGTAATAAATTGTGAAGGGACATGGAAGAAAGCGGTCATGGTCTGGCCCGTCCTGACACTTACCAGCAACGGGGAACGGTACGTAAATCAGAATAACCTTTCTCAGGGACAAGATTTGAACTCGGACCTACCGCTTACAAACCAGGACCCAAGAATTCTAGATCTGAAATTCAACAGAGAATTGCTGTCATAGCTCAGTCAGTACAGTGACTGTCTACGGACTGGACGGCCGTGGTTCGATTCCCAACAGAGGCACAGGATTTTCTTCTAGCTTCTATGACCAAACCGACTCTGGGGCCCACCCGACACCCTGCCTAAATGCGTACAGAGGTCGTTTCCCAAGGATAAAGCGCGGCTGGGGCGTGACAATGACCACTCACCCCCATCTAGTGCCGAAGTTAAGAATAAGTAGGAGCAAAACCTCATCCCCACTCCCTAAGCGCCTACATGGCGTATAACGGGACAAGTTTACTTTGCTTTTACATCTTAATGCTGTCACCTTTACGCTCGTGTCCTTTCTCTCTAGGTCCCGGAATCTGACGTCCACTCCACTTTACTGACTGAAATATCCATGATCCACATGTTTGTCCATTTGTTGTTACAAACACCCACTGTTCTACAACGAGGTACATGTAAGAAAATGTAGTGGCCAAGCGACCAGCGACTCGAGAGCACGGGAAAATAGGGAGAGTCAATTACAGAGGGAACACCTGCTTCTGATTTACGATTTGTACCGCACTTCGTAGAGTTATTGTGGTTCGTTTTAAATGATACGCCCTCTTGCAGCTACATCCCGCCTCTGCCCGGGCTCACTCCGAACGGCTGCCGCGTGATCGTGATGAGAGCCAGGGTCGACGAGGCTGTGCTGTCCTACAACGTGATGGACGTCATGAAACTAGTGTTTATGATCGGCGACATAAGGCTCAAGGAGGAGGACACTGGCGTCGCTGGGGATGTGTACATTCTGGACGCTTCCATAGCGACGCCGGCTCACTTCGCCAAGTTCACGCCGGCAGTGGTCAAAAAGTTTCTAGTTTGCGTCCAGGTCAGTCACAGTTACATATAACCTTTAGCCTACTTGTAGGCCTCTACGTCGTTTGATAAACATGGCGAGAAGTTCATGTCTGTCCGCACGTTTTGTGCCCGAGTAACGAGTAACTTGCAATAATTCTGCGAGAAATTAATTCTGGGAACTATCAGTCAAATAAAATCTCTTCTTCACTAGAAGCACAGATTTGGCCCCAGCACTTTTAAAAAATGATTCATGTAGAGTAGGTAGGCGAACCATAACAAACCGATAAAAAGTGTTTACAAAGTAGAAGCAGCTAATACCTTAATTTTAACGAAGAACTTGTCTTTTAATATTCAAATAACAGTCCAATTGGGTCTTTCATCATTTTCACTTGCGTGGACTAAAGTATGAAATAAAATACGGACAGCTCAATCGTAAGAGAGACCAAACGGAACTGTGAGATGCGCAGATTCACGTACCGACGAATACATGGGCAAAGATAAGGAAAACCTAAGGAAAAGGATAATGCTTACAACGAATGATTTGTTAAATGCGAAATAATAAACAAATCCCTCCTAAGTAATAAATGCTGTTGTATTAATGTCCATAAGTCTCGACGCTTTCAAAATAAGAAAAGCCTACAGCTTCGATTCCTCCTGCCGAATGTTTTCCATGCGGAAGTTAACTTGTAGATGTCCTCACCTAAATTCTCAATTCATTGCTTCCTTTTGGTATCGTCCTTGATTTAACAGACAAAACAATTAATTTCTACATTATTAATATTGTAGGATTTGAGGTTTTCAAGGCGGCGAGCCTGAAGATTGCTGTCTTCTTACCTGAGACTTGTAAAACGTAACAATAGATCGAAAATGCAAGAGCAGCATCTCCAAGGACCATGACAAATGCAACGAGCTGTCGAACACATGCAAACGCATAACAATAACAAGGATTCCGTGCGTGAGTTAAACACACACAAATTACGATGCAAGTTACGTGGAAGACCTTGCTTTCACGCATCCCATCTTTCATTTCAAACCGATTCTGATTTTCTAAAGAAATTCAAGAAATATTGTTTTTCTGGATTCTGACATCGTGTACACACGTAGGTGGGTGTTTCGGAGGACCATGCTGTCTCCATCTTCAGAGTTAAATACAGCGGCGATATTTCCCTCCGATATGTTGATATCCATCTGCAACAACTCATAAGACCACCTTCGCCATCTTATCTATTTTTTCTTCCTTCCTCAGGAAGCATACCCTGTCAAACTCAAGCAGGTCCATGTGGTGAACGTGTCTCCTATTGTGGATTCAATCATCAGCTTTGTCAAGCCGTTCTTGAAGGAGAAGATACGTAACAGGGTAATAAACACTAGGCAGTATATGTAGGGTATGTGCCAGAAGCACACTTTTAGCAAAGTTTTTAAATTATTACTCTTATGTCCATATTTCTGAGGAAAGATATAAAAACAATGGAGAATGCTAATATGCCCTACTATGTCAGACTATAGACGTTGAACCATTAAAAAAGAAATTTGTGAATCATATTTCAATTTTTTTTTATGCTTTTGTTAAAAGAAACTTTTTCGGAAAATACGTAACACATGCACTTGATTTAATATAAATTGAATCATGCTGACAATTGGAAAGAAAAACTACAGTTATTTGAATGTTATTTTCTATCTGAGGGGTTCGCAGTTTATGAACTAAAACAATCTTTATGTGTAATATAGACGGAAAATATATTTTTCTAACAATCTTCAACTTTCGGCATATTAAGATGAAAGAAATGTCCAATGAAAGAAAGATATTACAAAGGTTCCCGTCAAAAGTAAAATTTCGTGAATAGTAAGTTTCTTTCCAACATTTGAAAATTTGATTGAAAAGGAAACCAAGGAACACATATTTACCGTAATAGAACGCACGTTAGGGACAAACGTTTAGCCCTCTGAGGCAGAAGCGTGTCTAAATAACATTAAAATATTTAGTTCAAGAACTAAATAAAATAAAACACGAAGCTCGTAAAGTACAAAGGTGATTCTGTTAATGCTGTTTCAAGAAATTGCTGATATTTATTCTTGGAATCACACAAACAGGGCAAAATGCAGCGTTAATGAATGTAAAGGCAGGTGGTAGTTACCACAATTAAAAATTAGTGAAGGCAATACATTTTAAAACTCCAATAATATTTATTTATGTATAGAAAAACGTAATTCCAGGTTACATTTTTGCAGATTCTTAGACAATATTCGCAAGCCTGTGAAATTTATTTTTTATTTTGTTCAGATATATGTGCACGCGGCAGGGTTACAATCTCTTCACAAGTACATCCCGAAGGACATTCTCCCGGAGGAATACGGTGGCTTTGCAGGTCCGCTGGAATCCATTCACGGTGAGTTGGCTGTTCTGACGCCGTCTTTGCATTTATTTAATATTACAATCGAAGGCGTCTTTCTGAGTAGTGACTTTTCGCAGAATAATTTAATGTGCACGAGTTTAATATCCTTAAAAACTGTAAGAATCATCATACTTTGATGAAAAATCAGTCCTTTACGTTATGAAGAAAATAAATATAAAGTATTTTAAGTATTTACTTGCAGGTTCAAACCACACTTAAACGATCATGAGCGACGTCCAGCCCCTTCTTACACGCAACGCTTGTTTCTCCAAGACTCACCTACATGCCCCGCCAATCGTAACCCACTTTAGTAGGATTTAACGATCTCACAGTGGCGATTATGGCAATGGCTGTCTTCTGGGTTGCAGCCCCATGTAGTCCGGTAGTTTACCGACGTTTCAGAGGTTCTTGCTGCTTGTGTCCATCTTTAGAGCTCGTCGCCCTGATGACGGAGGCAGAAAGCACATCTGAAACATCGTTAAACTACCAGACTACACGGCACTATAACCCAGAAGACAACCATCTCCGTTTTATTCTTTAAATAAAAGACAATACCGAAACTAATTTACTCTTATGCTGTTTAGCGATTTTCAACTGCTTATTCCATGCGGGGTAGAATAATTTTTTGAATGATTATTTGAAAAGGATCTGGAAAGGGACGGTCATGACTTCTTTACTTTAAAGGAATAATCCAGTAGGTCGCTGGAGGGACTGAGATATATCAGTAAAAAGCATTGTGCTGATTGCAGCTGAATGGGTTGAGAAGATGCTGAGCTACAGAGAATGGTTCAAGGAACAGGAGACTGTTAAGGCAAACGAGTCGAAGAGACCGGGCAAGCCAAAGACACACGATGACCTATTTGGTTTGGAAGGCTCCTTCCGGCAGCTTGTAATCGACTGATCTACCGCGGCTAAATCGTCTTTTAGAGGCAGTATCTTCATAATATTATGTTATCTTTAAGTTTGTGAAGAAACAGATTTTACAGAAAAAGAAGTACAGGAGGTTTCATTATTGGCTCATTGTTCTGAGTTACTTCTAGGGCGGATCAAAAACTTGGCGGTGTAAGTATACACCACCGGTATGTACAAAGCAACGCACTGCCGTGTTATAAAACTTTACAGGCATATAAAATGTATTAAAGGACTTTCTAAGTATAAAAGTACCTACTCTTGTCATAAACTCCGGTTTTCGAGAGCGAAACTCCTTGTCTCTGGCACAGTAATTTCATTAAATTACCTCGCTCGTTTCACCGCTCGTGTGATCAGTCACCAATTCAGATTGTGACTACATTCCCATTCATCTTTAGATTAAACTTTTCATTTGATGAAAACATACTCTTCTTATTGTCTTTCTTAAACGCATCCATAGTCCCCTCTGTTTCTCCAAGTTCATCGTAGTCCACGTCGAGACCAAAATTTCATTCCCGGAATATACTTGTAAAAGCCTATTATTGACACAACATTATCTGCCTTTGCAACGCGTTGACTAGCGTTTCTTCTCTTCGACGTTTCACATGTTATTGCCTTCATCACTAGGGCAGTGATGTTTTAGGAAGCAAGGACATCTGAATGGTACGTAAACTTCTCAGCCTACGCGATGCTACAACCAGAAAACAGCTGTCCTAAAAATCATTTAATAATGGGAAATTAGAAGTGCAAAAATATAGTTTTATTTCCTACAAGATGAATACATATTGCTAGGGGCTTCACGAAAGGCTTCAGATAGTTGCACACACTGAGGCCAGTATCCAAACTGTCTCAGTGAGCAATTGAGTGCCAGTTACAGAGGTATTTCTGTTAACTGAGCAATCACGGTGTTAAACTTCATCCTAAGTACAAATTTGAATTAAACAAATTATGATAAATTGGGCTTATGCTATTTATCGAATCCATACTTCTGTTGTCCCATGCCATGAGATAGCAAGCAATTTTCTAAATTTTTATATTTAACTAAATAAATTAATTCAGTTCGAAATCTTTTGTCCTCTCGTCTCATATAAAAAATTAAAGATTAAAATATACAAAAGTGTAATTTTGCCAGTTGTGCTGTATGGGTGAAAAACTTGGTCTCTCGCCGAGGGTCTTTGACAACAGAGTGTTGAGGAGGATATTTGGCTAAATTTATGAGTTAACTAAATTTATAAATACAGTAGTCTACCGTACGCTATCCACATAGTAATCAATGCAAAATGATTATATATCGTTATTCATAAGAACCGTCTTTAACAAACCGTTTTACTTTCGTTCTCACTGGACACTTCATTGGAAGAGTCACACGGTAACAATTGTAGTATTAATAAATAAATCAGAACAAGTGATTCCAAAGCAGGATTTTTGAAATTCGTACACATAACAAACATTCTTGAAAAAGTTATACTACATTACATATATTTCAGATGTATTGTGTGTTGAATACATATTTTGTACAAGATATTAAAATTCGTTTTAAATATGAAAAATACCTTCTACGTCCTCCCATGTTACTATCATTCATCAATCACTTGCATTAATTTGCTACTAAATATATGAGTCAAATTCCCCTGCAAGATACTTCACCTAACTCCATACAATGGAGTCCTCCTTGAGAAGCCAACAGACCAAGTCTTTGAAATGTTTAACGAATTCACGGCGCCTTTATGAATCCCGAATGTTGATTCTCGTGTCAATAAGGCCGCCATTAGTCCCTGTCGTGTGCCAGACCAATCCAGTACAAACCTTCAATATCCTGTTTTTTTAAGATCCTCTGTGTGTTATCATCCAGTCCATGCAGCTACCTTTTGAGTATTACGACTAAAATCTGTACATCCCTGATGGTCGCCCTGACGACCGAGACATTATGCACCTCCGAAACGTCGGTCAACTTGTACGAGACTACATGGCACAATATCCCACACGGTTGTCATATTCAACAATTGGGTTTCTTGGCTACTCAGGTTCTACGTTAAACTGAATGATACAGTTGTCGACCTCAGGAATAGAAGAAGAATATAAAGAAATGTACATGATCATGCCTTGAACTTCTAGAGATTCCGTTCAAGAGTACAATGATACTGCGATCGGGCAGTGCAATTATTTCCAGAGATAAGATAGCGATCAGGTGTATCTAGCTCAGAAAATCTATCACTGCTGAGACGCAGTATACGGGCCGACACGTCCTGAATGCATTGCAGGTAAGGCACAAGTCAAAACATAATTTCAGAGGTCGATTCCAGAATGCTGTAAGTCATGTTTGTAATTTTTAATGAAACACCTAAACCCGATTACAAACAAATGAAACGCTACAAATAGAGAGAAGTCTGTGTTGTGAGGTGTGTTAAGATGCTGCAAAGATATTGATTAAATTATTACATCCATTTTGAGGGGTTGTTTTTTAAATAACGCACAGAAGATATCAGTTCTCGTGCCACTGAATATAATAATGAAACAACAATACTTTTTAAAAAACAATTGCAACAGAAATTAGAACACTTCCCAGAAGTAAATTACATCGAATAAGAAACCATTACAATTTTAAACAAATAATTATTTTAACATTTAACAAGTGGTACAGACTTAAACAGCCTAATTAACACCAAGTCCATAACTGAACGTATACAAGACTGTTAAGGTAAAATGCAGAAGATCACAGAAATGGGTCGCTTTCATTAAAATAAAAAAATTAACACCGTTGGAATCTCTCAACGTTTCTTCATGGAACTTATAATCTAACACGTTCCAGTCGTCACCCAACAATTTCACTGTTATTCGTTGTTAATAAATAAACAACAGAAACAATTTGAATAACACAACATAAAATTGAAGCAGACGCCTGTTGCATTCCGACAAGTCATAAACATGTTTTTAAAATCGCTACTGCTCATGCGCCATTACTTCGATTCATTTGTAAGAAATCACATAATGACGGAACCGTTTGAAAAACACTTCACTGAATCATCATGACTATGTACGATTCTAAAAATAAAATCTGACCCTTTTTAGCTAATAGAGGCTAAGGAAAGTACTCCAGTTGTTTACAAATTGAGTTCATGTGTTGTGGATCTACCTCTTCAATTATCTGATCTTATTTATCTCACTTTAAGCTCTGGAGATTAATGTGTCATAAGACATGATAAGTCCGTAAGTCGTTCATGATAAATTACGAAAGTACTTTCAAGTACCGCATATTATCTAAACGAATTATTATTTTTTATTCGGAAAATGCTTATTGCCATGCACATCAAAACATGTTGTTTTCCTGTCGTTTGTCTAAAAGCGCAAAGACTTGTTTAGGGAAATTCGTCTGACGTTAATTGAAAGACACGAGGCAAGGCCAGTGGTTCCAGGGTCCCAAGAAAAACGTGTGGACCTAAGAGGGATGAAGTGACAGGAGAGTAGAGAAATAGTCAATCCAAGTGTGTTTTGCTATATTCGCACCTATTTTATTTCAGCGGCTGTAATTCTGGTTTAGCCTCTTTTGTTTTCATCAGCCATATTGTCCCGTCTAAGTGTTGGTAATCCAAGGCCATAAACTTCTACTCTGGCGAATTTATGGACAATTAAAAATTGTGTTGATAAAGAATAAAAATTTACAATTTCAGAAATTTTAATTTATACACAATTTATCCTTCATATGACATTAAACATCCGATAAAATTGAAAGGTTTAACTTGTTTTATTTAATTGTTTATTACTATTTTAATTATTACGAGTTCTTGTACACACAACACCATTGTATTTTACTTTTCTGTTTAAACTGGCATCCCATATCGACAAGTTATTAATTTTGTGAGGTGATATCCGTAATTCATTTTGAAATTTGACTTTATTACTAGATCAGTTACGAAGAGGACTGTTTAGACATTTGTTTCTTGATAGTTGTTTTAATTTCACTTGCCACCTGTGCATCATTTCTTCAAGCCTACCTATATCTTACCATAATCAATGGAGTTAGATGTAAAATACTAGGGTCGCGCAATATAGTTTCGAAATTTTGTGCAAACAGAAACCGAACTTCGCAGGGAAGTTGTCAGTACTCCTGGCTCATGTTTAGGAGATTCTGGGTTCAAATTTCGGTGCGGGGACCGGTTACTCAGATGTCTTCGGCAGCTCTCCTCAGCCCCACCAGGCAAATGCCGGAACGAAATCTTAAGTTAGGCCACGGCGGCTTCCTTCTGGGTCCATTAATTTAGTATTCATTAAACGTCATATAATCACACGCAATGTAGTCTGAGCCACTGACAGTGTCGTTAAATAAACCACAAATAATAAATAAATAGAAGTAAATAGGTATTTAAAAGAAAGTTCTCAAAAGATTATGCCACGACTACTTTGAATTAAATACTTTTATATAGAATATAAGTCAAATCAAGGACTGCGTCTCATTACAACAGTAGATCTCACGAAGAAGGCTGACTTCTGGGTTGTTGCGCCGTGTAGCCTGATAGACGTTTACTGAAGTTTCAGAAGTCCATGATGCCTGAGATGATCATAATGATGAAGGCAGAAAGGACATCTGAAACGTTGGTGAAGGCCTACTAGACTATACGGTGCAACAACCCAGAAGACAGTCATCTTCGAACACAACGCTGTGAAAACCTCAGATCCTACAATAAGAAATCAAATTCATCAGGTAACATCGGCGAATGAATGGACAAGGAACCACAAATCACAGTCAGAACAAGTAAAATCAGTCATCTTATTTTGTTACGCATATACGCAAAACGAATAATTTATCCCCAGATACTGTCTAATAAGCCGGAGTTGCTATGACAAATCATGGAAAACAATTTGTATCAGGATTAATGCCTAATAAAGTTAGAAGTGGATTTCGTATCATGACGTTTGTGAATTCAGTTTCGACTCAAAAATTATGTAGAATAATAGTGTAAATTCTACTCCTAAATACAGTATATGCGACTTCAGTTTCTCAAGGCTGTGAAGATGTCGATGTTGATTTTCTGAGTTTAACGCCAAAACCGACGGTACCATAAGACTCTAGATCCCAGACCACCGACGTCGTTCTCTTACATAATTTGTTCACAACGGAGCACCGTAACAGACCTAGGACAGCATCTGTTCAAGCTCCCAGATCCATTAAACTAATACGCACATTTCTACACCGCATATTAACAATTAATGATGTTTAATTGACTACAGACATTATTTTATTGCTTGTCATTCGAAACTGTCTCGTGAATCCATAACCAAACACCTCAGCACTACAAACATGCTACAGGTTATCATGATGATGGACACAGATACTGCCCCCGAAACGTCGTGTTATGAGAAACAACAGACGGTGGATAATGTTAAACATTTTAGCCACAGCAATTATGTTACAGGTAGCAACTCTGAGTCACACTGCGAACGTAACATGGCAATCCGCCCGCTAAGTGCCGAACTGCAAGCAATAGCACGTGAGGAGTTGAACGAGGATCCTGCCAGATTGGAACAAGATTTAAAGTACTTGAGGGAATGGCTGGCCAAACAACCCCATCTTATACCCAGGACAGGTAATTTATCAGTTGACCGACAGATATAAAGAGCAAAGTCAACCTACACAGCAAACTCGCAGGTGCGAAGTTTGGTTAATATTATTCTCAATGTCGTTCTTCATTTACTACTTACATACTCCACTACGGCCCCAAAACAGCTCTTGCAGAATCTTAGCCACCTCATATAGGCTGCGTGAGGGTCATTAATCTATTTATACATGTGGGAGGATTCCTTTACACCGACGCAGAACATCTTCCAACACGGGACAGCGCGACATTAAATGGTACTGACAAACATCCATCAATCCAACAGATTTCGAAACCCACGACCATAGTATTTCAGCAGTCAAGGCCCACTGTTCTACTGTAACTGGTCGAGGTTTCTTACCTCGGGAAAGTAAATCCATTGATTCTCAGTCTAAAATGTTTAACTGTATCTTTTATTAAGTAAATTAAAAACGCTCCTTTTACGCAATTTACTTTCAAATTTGCTGAGATTTTCTTTTGCAGATCGGATACGATTTTTTGTGTAAATATATATACAGCTGACATCAATAACATTACTTGTTTCTAATTCTATGGCCAATTTTCGATTCCATTAGAAGCTCAATCACAACGCATCCCTTTCTGGAGATGAAGCTGACCACTCATATACTTCTAGTGAAACGTTTAATAATCAGTGAAAATTAACTCCATGCTCGCTATACTCCCCAAATCAAGATGGAGACTGAAAGGAGAAAGGATACTTCAAGCACAACAAATTTTATATTAACTGTTATACTGTATTTTATAAACGATTCTTTTCTACTTCAACAGAATTCAAACTTTAAAAACTGGCTGGTTGCTGCTGGATAACGATGCATTTTATCTCATCTGTCCCCTGTCTTTTAGTGTTTCTTACAACAATACTTTTTATTTCTAGCTTCTCAAAGAGTTAGCCGGGCTAACACGGCTAACACTTTGATGACATGCGCGATCTGTTCAGTACACAACCCCAGAAACTGTTACAACTGACGTGGCGCGACTTACAGATTAAGAAACAGGATTTAATTCGCAACAACAGCTGTGTTTCAGACTCACAATGGCTAATAACATTTCTTCGTGGCTGTAAGTTCTCTCTGGAACGCACCAAGTCCAAGATAGAAATGTTCTACACACTGAGAACCGCGTTGCCGGAGTTTTTCACGAATCGTGACCCGATGTTGCCAGAGATTCAAAACGTCCTCAAATCAGGGTGAGGTAATTACGTCCAACTACTTGGTATTGACACAAAGAAATACATTACAGACGGAGAAATACAAAAATACAGGACAAACCGTGACTGATCCTGATGAAGTGAGGCTTGAGGACGTCTTCAAAACACAGATGAACATCTTAGATATATTGGTTGAAGAGGACGATCGTGTTACTATCTGCGGCACAGCGTTTGTGATGGACAATTCGCAAATGACTTTGGCTAAAATGGCACAATTCACCCCCTCACTAACGAAGAAAGGCGTCACCCAGTTTCAGGTAAAGTTTTCCCAAACAACTTGCTCTCCCTCAGAGAAATACTGATTTTGCTTTAAACTCTTTGAAGTCGAAGATTATTCGTAAGTCCTAAGCAAAGACATTGGGGAAATGTGAAAACATGAATTAAAAATAGATGGTGAGTGCATAGAATGGATTCATTTGGTTTATACTACGGAACAATGACGGGATTACACTATAAACAACGATTCTGTCTTACGACGTTAAACTTTCTCAAACTAATATTCACTGTTCTAGGATGGTTACCCAGTTCGTCCTAAAAGCATGAACACTATCAACATGAGTCCAGCGTTCATCACTGTGTTCAACATGTGTAAGTTATTCATGAACGAGAAGATGAA